AAGAACAACAAGAATTTTCTGTAATTACCATAACAATTTGTTCATTATTTTTTGGAATCATGAGGTCTACGACTTTGTTTCTAGTATTATTTTTTCTCATGTTTTTTGTTTTGAACCATATTAAAGGTAATGTTATTTTTTTTTGTTAAAGTTTAAAGGTAACTAGATCGGTACCCCGCGCATATGCGCGGGTTTGTTTATATAAAATGTTTTTCTCAATCTTTATGATATATCATAGAAACAAATAAATTTGATTGATCATTTGGTGTTCTTTTTGCTTACTGTTTTCTTCTTTTGTTTCTTATATTTTCATATTTCAAAGGAAAAAAATGATCAAATGTGATTAAATAATTAGTGTTTTTTGTGAAGAAAAACAAAACACCGAAGATGAAAACCCCATCTAAGCATTGCTTCAATTTAATCAAAGGTAAAGCTTATTAGGAAGCTATGAAATTTTAGATTTAACTATGGCTAAGTATATGTTTTCGGTTAAAAAAAACTATTGCCAAGTATATATTTTGTCTGGAAACTGAAAATAAACATAATTTGCCTCTCATCTAATAACATTGCAGAACATAGATTTAAACATACTAATATTATTGTCTTAAGTGATTACACCTCTTCGTATCTGAGCTCCTCATTTACTTGACTCTAAGATCCTTAATTTCAAAGACATAGTACAAAACCATTTGGTTTTTAATCATGAAGATTTTCTTACAGTCTTCGCTTACTCTTCAAGTTACTAAAGCTTCCCTAATTCATTTTCTATNGCAACAACTTTNNTTTTCNTTTAACTCTTCATTTTCTTGAGTGGAACACTACGAATTGATTTCTTGATAAGAAAATATTTTATTTATTTTATANANCTTTNCTTTCTANTTATGCACAACCTTAAGATAAGAAGAGTCCCTTCCTCTTTAACTCCAAGTTTTCATGAACCAACATTATGTTGTTTGGCTTCTTTCTTGGCTAAACCTTTCATTCGATAGTAAGTTCTTCGATTTTCTTGATATATACAACTTTCCTTTAACTGAGAACCACACTTTTGCGGATAGTGAAGCGCAAAAACAAATGTGTAAAAGTTAATTGTTATCTAGTAAGAATGAAAGAGAGAAAAAATAAAATCACAGCACAAATATTTGCCATATAGTAGCTTAAAGGGTCGTCATCTTGAGTAGACCCAAACCATATTAGATAATTTGAGTGCTTGATTTTGAACCCACGTTTAGGAGCCTATTTAGATAATAATACCATTAATAATACACCACATACTTGGGTCCCAAGTAACGTACAAATTTGCGACGCCGTCGCTACCGCTGCGTTTTGAAAAGAATATGCTTTATACAGCCTGCTCTAACAGTCCATGACCTCTGTCGAAAGCTTCATATTCATATTGCTTTCTTGTCCCCTTTTTTGGCTAAAGTTCTGTTCTGCAGATGTCGATAGAATTATGGAGTTTACATATATAACAACTAAGTTCAGAATTATACCATCGCTCTGTTTCTTTGTTCTAACAATTGTCTAATATTGGTTGGTTTGAATTGTTGTTAACCTGATAAGAAGAATGAGTCGTGAGTCTAGTTTCTTGCAAAAAAACAATTTGTAAAATGTTGACCAAATCTATCAAAGAATTAAAATCCTTTAATAGCTCCAAATGCGATATATCAACATCTTCTGGATATATTACATGTGAAAGACTTACCGAGGGGAAAAAAAATTTGGATTTAGCTCTGACATCTTTCTAGTGAAAGATTGAAGATGCCTTCAGAGAATCTCGCACATCTTTGCAGAATTGGATGAAAGATTACCAAACCGATTTAAAATTAATTTCAAGTGATATTATTAAAACTGATAATCTTTTTGAAATAGCAATGAATGAAAAGAAGAATGAACATAAAAACTATGGAGAAA